AAATTGATACGGAGAAACTGACGGAAGCAAAGCACAGAGGGATGGACACAGGTTTCTTCAGGAAGGAAGAGATTCTTTATTAGATCACCGATCGGGACTCAGAGGGACTAATGTCACCAAAAATACAGCAAGTTCTGAGCCCTGAACAATAGTGCAGGCTTCCTATATAGGCACATAACTCCTCCCATATTAAGCTCCACCCGCACATTCTCTTGACCAATCATCACAAATAAGAATTAACTTCCTGCTTGACCACATGGCTTGTCCAGCACAATGGAGGAGGGGAATACTACATCCTGTATTCTTGCACATGCTCCGTACACTAGTGATCGTATCTTGCCTCGTGCAACCAACTGATCGATACGTCAGCATATGCACGTACACATGCCACGTGGTAATCTCGGCCTACTAAATTTATTTTTACAGAGATTCCACCACATTCCCCCCTTTGATGCCTCTTGATATTTTACAATTACTTGAGGCATCACTTAACCTTGGTTTGCATACACCACAAGTTACCTTTGAACCAGACCAGACTTATCCTATGATGTGAATCTTCAACGCTCGTCTTCCTGCATTGGTTCTCCCTGATCTAGAGCCTTATATTTATAAATTGCCATTATCTGTGCAGCAGCCTTCCTCTCTGCTATATTTTCTATCAGGCTTTGCACAGACCTAACTACTGAGGGTATAAGACACGGCAGGAGTAGACACAACATTAAAATCAGTAGGACTCCACCTACCACTGCCTTAAGCCCTCCAAACCACTCATACCAGCTACCAAACCAACTTCTTGGATTGTACCCTTTCCATACCTGAGTAGGCACATGCACTAGTTTAACCATATGGCTAGTAAGCTCAGCTATTGCTTGCCCTTCGTCATCTATTTGAAGACAGCAATTGCTCAGGTTAAACTTCCCACATACACCTCCCTCTACTGCCAAAAGATAATCCAAGGCTAATCTATTTTGGTAAGCTGCTGTCCTCATCCTGGTATTATGCTTCGCTAGAAGATTGAGCGCTTGTGATGTCTCGTTAGTAATGATCTCAACCACCGCCTGTAACCTTATAATGCGGTTGAGCATATAAATAGGGGTTCTATAACCAAAGGTACCATCCTCTGCCCGCGTGGCTGGCCCATAATAATCTATAATACGCTGGGGAGGCCATTCATTATCTTCCCAGGCACCTATCTCTATGGGTCCCCTTTTCTTCCTATGATTCACATCATACACTTTAACACCTAAAGTCTCACCTGTTTCAATAGGCAACAAGAAGGATGGTTTTAACATACCCAACACACATGCCCCTTCCCAGTCCTGTGGTAACTCCGAATAGGCCTTCTTACCACAGATCCAGTACAAATTCGCTGGGGCTCTCCAGTTAGATGTGATGGATAGATCAAACCATACGTCCTTTAAATTGGCATATCTTGCAAGCGGGTTAGATGGTTCTGAGACATTTGAAGCCGACCACCAAGTTGTATTCTTTGTATCATCATCATAAGCTTTTTGCCCTAGACAAGTTAATTCTCCTACAGAAGTATTATACATCATTCCTTTCCTCGCTATGCAAACATAACCTATGATGGAGGTCTTCAATCTCCACTCAGATTTACCTCTAACACTCATATGATAGTCGACTTGTGTAGATATTAATTGGTCAACTGCCTCAGAACCGGACATTACCTCCTTTGCTTCCCAAGGCCATTGGTCTCCCATGTTAGTACCTCCACACACATAGCAGTTGGTAACATTAGGACTACCGGCAATACTCTCGGCTAAATCAATGAACAAGTTTTTAGCATTATGGGGGATCTTATTATCTATGCTCATCTCTTCATAAAAGGAATGGTATACTTGATGAGTTTGGGAGGTTACCGTATCAGTCTCTATCCCTATAAACAATATTGTCCCAGGTTCTAAACCCGTCCCATATATTTGAAACCCAAATAAATTACCATATTTATCTAAGAACTTGTCAGGGTTATTTATAAGTATATGGATTGGATTGCATTCCATAGACTTACAATATGGATCGGTAGGCAACTTAGTCACAATCATGTCCTTGTCTGCTGTCTGTCCCCAAGTCGCCCACCCCACACAAGACCAATATGGGCAGAAGTTATAATCTCTATTTGGGCATCTTGGACTTACATATTTATTTTTACTACTGGGACAAATATATTTATCGTTAGACCCATACGTCCTCTCCCATCTAAGATCCCCACATACATTCCACGGCTTTCTACCACTTGATATTGCTTTACACGCATCAAATAGCAGAGCACCTGAAGAATATACGGATTTTAATACCGTCTTATTAATTAGGGTCCCCTGAGAATCTCCATTTCTGAGAGTCAACCAAATTGTACGGGGTTGATACTCAGGACTGAAGCACTTAGGTTCTCCTACTCCTAAATGACACACACTATATTCTATATTTAAGTATCTACATCTTGATACATCTCCTTTACACTCATATTGCGAATGCCAAATTAGGGTCTGGGATATATGGTTACCTGTTCTTGTAGTCTTAATGCATACCTCACAGCTAGGAGTGTTGGTACCTCTACCTTCCTGAATATAAAAATACACATAAATAAACATTATTAAAAATACATCTTTCGTCGTCATCCTCAGTCTTCGTCCGTGTGAAGGCACCTCAGCTTCCAGGATGTAAGGACTGCAGGGAATGGAGTTCTGCTCGTCTTCACAGGGGTCCCCTCAAGACTTTCCCTGACTTATACACTCGTTGGTGAGTGGACAGGCTTTATTATGGCCTTCTCACTCACTTACCAAGTCTCTGAAACAATAAAATTTGTAATCTACAAGGTTCCTCGTCACTCCGACTGAGTCGTGCGTTTTAACCGGATCTTGCAGGGATTCTCTGGATTTGCTGTAACTTGCCAGGAATCGGCTGCTGCTGGTTTAACCCTGGAGTGATGTATCCACGGAGCCACTTCGGCTACTTTTATCGCTGTAGGGGTAGACAGAAGAACAACATAAGGACCTCTCCACTTGGGCCCTAACGGCACATTATTCCACTCTTTAATCCACACTTGGTCGCCTGGGTGGTAACTATGAATTGGGGGATAAATATTCACAGGTAATCTATCTTGTACCCATTTCTGTACCTCCTCCATAGTCTTACCCAACTCCTACAACCTGCTGCCGGGTAATTCCTTCTCCCAACTGACTCAAATCCCCCCTTAAGTTACCAAGCACGGGAGGTGGTCGCCCGTACATGATTTCAAAAGGAGAGAGGCCCATCCTTCTGGTAGGTGTACTACGGATTCGCAATAGAGCTATGGGCAAGAGAACGTTCCACTTAAGTTGGGTTTCCTGACACATTTTAGCCAACTGATTCTTAATAGTTCTATTCATTCTCTCTACCTTACCAGAACTCTGGGGTCTATATGCCGTATGAAGCCTCCACTTTATACCAAGCATATGAGTCAATTGTTGTAGGCACTGATGAACAAAAGCTGGACCATTGTCCGATCCTATAGAGCAGGGTAGTCCATATCGGGGTATTATTTCTCGTAGCAGGAATCTCACGACTTCTCCTGCTTTCTCTGTACGAGTAGGACATGCTTCTACCCAGCCTGAATAGGTGCACACCACTACCAGCAGGTAGCGATGTCCACCCGATTTAGGCATCACTGTATAGTCAATTTGTAAATCGGACATGGGAAGTCCCCCATAAACTGGACTCCTGGTGGCTTTACTGGTCCTTGTCTTGCATTATTTTTAGCACACGTTACACATCTACGTACAATGGCCTGAGTCAAGTTGGACAATCTTGGTATGTAGAAATGTTTTCTGAGAGATTCTTCTGTACTGTCTCTCCCAGAATGTGTCCCGTTATGATAGGTTTGGACAATTTCTACCGCTAGTGATGCTGGAATAACTATTCTTCCATCTTCTAACTGATACCATTTGTTCTCCAAATACTTTCCAGGTTCAGTCCTTAACCACTCCTCTTCTTGAGCTGTATAAATTGGAGTCCATTGAGACAGTGGAGTTGGTATAAGAGCAGCTATATGCCCCACATATTCCTGTCTTCCTGATTCAGCAGCACGCTTAGCTGCACTATCTGCCATCCGATTCCCTTTGGTTACATCACCATCTCCTCTCAGATGCGCCCGACAATGTATAATACCGACTTCTTTCGGCTCCCACACTGCTTCCAATAGTTGTAGGATCTCAGCTGCGTATTTGATTTCTTTGCCTTCTGAATTCAATAGTCCTCTTTCTTTATACAAAGCTCCATGGGCATGAGTGGTTAAAAACGCATACTTGGAGTCCGTGTAGATGTTCACTCTTAAACCTTCAGCCAATTGTAACGCTCGTGTCAGTGCTATCAATTCTGCCTTTTGTGCTGATGTTCCTTTTGCCAGTGGCCGAGCTTCTATCACCTTGTCTATCGTTGTTACTGCATATCCTGCATAGCGGATCCCTTCTTTTACATAACTACTGCCGTCGGTGTAATATTGAACATCAGGGTTCTGGATGGGAAAATCACGAAGATCTGGTCTACTTGAAAATACTTCATCCATTACTTCCAAACAATCATGTTGACTTTCAGTAGGTTGTGGCAAAAGGGTAGCTGGATTTAAGGTATTTACAGTCTCTAAATACACTCTTGGGTTTTCACACAACATTGCTTGATACTTGGTCATACGGCTGTTACTAAACCAATGATTTCCTTTGTAATCCAACAACGTCTGTACTGCATGTGGAACTCGTACATAAAGTTCTTGACCCAGAGTAAGTTTATCGGCTTCAGCTACTAGCAAGGCGGCTGCAGCTACGGCTCTTAGACAAGGTGGAAGTCCGCTGGCCACTGCATCCAGTTGCTTAGACATGTAGGCAACAGGTCTTTGCCATGATCCCAAGTACTGTGTCAATACTCCCACAGCCATTCTTCTTTGCTCATGTACATACAGGTAGAATGGCCGTGTGTGGTCAGGTAGACCTAATGCTGGGGCACTCATCAAAGCCCTCTTCACATCTTCGAATGCCGTTTGCTGTTCTTGAGTCCATAAGAAGGGGTCGTGCTCTGTACCTTTGATAGCTGCATACAGAGGTTTTGCCAGTATCGCGTAGCTGGGAATCCATATCCTACAGAAGCCTGCTGCCCCCAAGAATTCTCGCACTTGTCTTCTATTCCTGGGTATCGGTATTTGGCACACAGCTTCTTTTCTCTCTGGCCCCATAATTCTTTGACCTTCAGAGATATGGAATCCCAGATATTTGACAGTTGGCAAACACAACTGAGCCTTCCTTCTTGACACCTTGTATCCTGCCTTCCAGAGAATGTGTAGTAGATCGTGCGTTGCTTGCTGACATACTTCCTTTGTAACTGCTGCTATCAACAAGTCATCTACATATTGTAATAATACACACTCTCCTGGGATAGACTCGAAATCTAGTAGATCTTGACTTAGAGCTGAACCAAATAGGGTAGGTGAATTTTTAAACCCCTGGGGCAATCTTGTCCAGGTCATTTGGCGTTTCGAGCCCGTTACAGCATTTTCCCATTGGAAAGCGAAGATACATTGGCTTTCTGCGGCAATTCGGAGGCAAAAGAAGGCATCTTTGAGATCTAAGACTGTAAAGTAAGTAGCCCCGCCCGGAATTAAAGCAAGCAGGTTATATGGATTGGGCACGACTGGATGTATACTAACAACCGCATCATTGACTGCTCTCAAGTCCTGCACAGGTCGATACTCATCTGTACCGGGCTTTTG